GATCGTCACGCGTGGAGAGGTACAGTTCGGGACATCATCGAGGCCGGCTAGATCAGACATGATCGCAGCCGTATCAAGTACAAGTACAAGTAAGAGCTCTGAAGTACGCCGCTAGCCCCGCCGGTTGCTAGTCGCCAAGACGAACAATATGAGATCGATCAATCGAGAAGTTTTCGATCCACTTCAAAGCTGCCTCTTACTATTATGCGGCTGAGTTTCTATACGAACCGTTGGTGTGGCATATTATCGAAGGCCTTCCGCAAGTCTATGCAGGCCACATGCACCACGTTTCCCCCATCAATCGCTAGGCGTCCACCGCTCTAGACAGTAGAGTAAATCGGTCAAGCATGATCTTCCTCTGCAAAATTTGATAAGAAGTAGAAGCGGTCATTGGAACATGAGCTTTATTAGCCTGAGGTTTCGGATTCTCGCTCGAACCCATCATTAGAGACAGTGACAGTGACCTGTTTCTGTCACTGTCTCTGATGATGGGTTCGAGCGAGAGTCCGAAATGTCAGGCCAATAAGCCTCTTGTTCCAACGATCGCTTCTAATTCATATCAGTTCAAGTTTTCTTCGCAACTCCTCTGTGGCAGCCGGAGTTTCTGGACTAATTGCTGGCGTTTTAGCCGTTCCTGTGATGCGCAGTCCGGCTGAAAAACTACTTGGTTGGAATATTTTAATTGAAAACGCCTTGAAAGGATGAGATGGACATGCTCTTTGCAACTCAGAACAATTTTGAGGGGCCTAGGATGCCGTGGGATGGAGGGTTCAGTAGTGCGTTTTCCGAGCCTGAAGGCTTTCGGTACCGAAACTTCTTGGTTGGGTTGAAGCATTGTATTCAGGAGACCCTAGAACAGGCCGAGATCTGCCAGAACGCGTTCTTCAGGTGGGTCTGCGTGTGCCTCCTGAAGCCCCTGAAGCACTGTTCTCGGAGTGGCCGGTCTTTGTTGCGTGGTGATGGTGACTTGGGAGTTTCTGGCGAACCTTTCATGACGATGTCCAGGTTGTCTTCCCCTTTGGGGACCTGTTCTTGAACTAACCGCGTCGTGTTTGTGTAGCAACTGGTAGTGATCGACGTCCACGTTCTGCGAAAGTCGTGTTGCTGCTTGTGGACGATGCGAATATTGCCATCTTGAAGTAGATTTTTAATTCGGGTTGGCTGCAGGAGCTTCCAATGTTTCAAAATGTACAAAAATATGAACCCCCGTCGGAGGACGAAAGTTTGAAATCCAATTCTAAACGCGCGCATCGGTTGGAGAAGACTCCTAGCGACCGTTTGGCACGTAATTTGTCACAGCGGAAGTTCATAATGGAGGTAATCTGTGAACGCCATGGTTTGGACGTGCTAGGTAACGAGTGTCAGATACAACAACCGAAAGACCCCCAACCACGGTAGAAAAAAACTTCTGAGGCCGTTTATCGGATCTGGCACAGTGGCGAACAAAAAAATTACGTCGGACAAACCTGAAGACTGCTCTGAACTGAAATGGCCGAACATACGGCAGCAGTGCGGAGAAATGATGCTAACTCTTAGGTCGCCGCGGGCCATTTGACGAAACCTGGCTACAAGTTGAAGTTCAATGAGGCCCAGATTCTCGCGAGGAGTGAAAATTACGTGAGCTGCAAGCTGTTTAAATCATGGTTCACTGCCGCCCGCCCCCGTCTACTAAAAAGTGCAATGACCTTCCCCATCCATATTGGGTGCTGAGAGTTCGCGTCTAGGTGGAGTAATTGGTAACGCGGGGAGCGCTCAGGCGAACGCTGCTCCCAACGCCAAGGTCGGTGGGCCAGATGATCGAGCAGCCATCACACCAACATCCAAACATCACACCCTGTGCAACAGTTTCGGATAAAGGAGTGAGTCCTGAATTCTCATATTCACGCAGTAGCATGGCGACTGCATTCTACACATACTGCACACGTATCTGCTAGTTGCTAATAGAAGCGAAGTGGCGAGTTCCAGGAAGAAGTCGTAAAGAGGGAGACAGGATCGCTGGAACAGGAGTTTTATTAGCCCGACGTTTCTGATTCCCACTCGAATCCATCACGAGAGACAGAGTCAGGTAAGGGTGGTGGGTTGCCCAGGTGTTGTAATATCTACAGGTTGCAGTTGCTAGGCCGCAACATGCCTATCACAGTTGGCAGCTCCCGAGCGCATCACAGCTGGACTGGCCAGGTGTTGAAGTATGCAGTTGCCATGCCGTTACTACGCGTCAAGATTATCGGCTCCCACGCTTATCGCACGCTGCCGAGTGGCTGACTGCCGGATTTCGTCATCCGTTTGGACTCTTGGGTGATTTGACTATTGTCTCTGATGATGGGTCCGAGCAGGAATGTGAAATGCCAGGCCAATAAAACCCTTGTTCGGCCGATCGTATCTCCTTCTTAAGGACTGCTTCCTGGGACTCGGTGCATCTGTTAGCAACTGAAGGTAGTCAGAAAATGCGGTGGTATGAATGGGCCAGTCAACACGGGGCATGGCGTCATGTAGATCTTACAGAATACACCAAACAAGGCCCACTGAAGACAATGTAGTAGGTAGCTATGTGTACGATGCGGATTTGAAAACCAGAACTCGAATCCCTACCTCAATTCGCGAACTCCTGCCATGATACAGGTCTAACTGATGTTAATCCTGCCCAAGAACAAACCCTAATTCCATGCGTGGAAGAATGCGTTGCAATTTTCAACCTGTGGGTTTCTAAACTGCGTTTGCCTAATTCTGATCGACGACACAGTTTACAACAGACGACGGTGTGTGACGTACAACCGCAGAAAGCCCTCAACTCCATACATCCACCATCGGAGTCACCTATGGTTACATCAAGCTTGAGGGAAGAACTGGTCTAATTCGTAGCACCAGCCGCTGCGAGCCTGCAGTGAAGACCGTGCTGAGAGTGTGTCATCCTCTTGTGTCACTGGGTGGATGCCCCTATGCTACACACGCAACTCGAGTGCGACTCCAGTCTGCACGCACGCACGTGAAACCCCACCCAGCCACCAACTCCCTCCCTCCGCACCAGATGAGTAGTTTTTACTGCCAAGCGATGCACCTAGGCTTGCGTGGGACTGCTCGTGGCTGGCATTTCGTTTGCGATCGATGCGTCTAACCCTAATCTAGTGAGAGCATCATTCGCCATGACGTAATGCAGAACTGCAGGTTTGCAACCAATTTTCGGGTAACGTCATGCTACGCGTGGAGGTAAATGCTGCACAAGTCTGCCACCAGTATAATCTCAATCATTTTGTCATGACTGTCGTCCAGTCAGCACCGAATTGTCGGTCATTTTGACAAAGTCATTCATTGAGTCACCGAGATTGTCGTTTGTTGCGCTCTTAACGTTGGAGTCTTCAGGAAAGGTCAGTCACCGAGCCGAACTTCGAGCTCCAAACTAGTTAAATGTTTAAGTTTTCTGTAGTATTAAAGGTAGGGCAACAAATTCCGTCTGCTCTATGGCCTCACAGCAGCGCTCCATACTATTTGTTTACGGATACCTCTGACTGGACGGCTGTCGTCTGAAATCTCTGCTTATTAGAATTCCTGCAATCGTGTTAGTACTGGACAAACCCTGGTCCCTAAAGATATCTCCTGAATGTTGGCTGCAATATATGCACTATCCTGTCAGAATGCCGTGTTTACAGGAACTTCTGATAGGTTGTGTTTTTTGAGGATAGGATTGGTCTCAGGACTAAGACTGACTGGTCTCCAGTGTAGGAGGTATAGTCGTGTTGGCCAGATGCCATAGTTCACGTACACATGCCCTTTGAATATTTATTTGCGTACTTTACTCAAAGAACTGTCATTCAAGTTATTCTACCTGAGCCATTTTATTTGCTGGTTTTTTCGCATGGACATACGAAACCCCGCGCATCCGTCTTCGTCCGCACCAGATGAGTACTTTTTACTGCTAAGCGATGTACCTAGACTGGCGTGAAACTGTTCGTGGTTGACTCTCGGTTTGTGAATACAACGCACTTAACCTTAATGCAATGAGAGCAACATGCGTTTTGACGTAATACAGGACTACAGATTTGCAATCAATTCACAGGCAATTTATCGCTGACAACTGATTCACCGTGTACCTGAGTCTGCCCATTTTTTTAGAAAAGCACAAAATCCTGGAAACGTCAAAAATGGCTGTAATTTAGTTTAGTTTTTAGACGTAAAGAGTGTCTTCTTATCCATCATAACGGAGTAAATATCAATGTACAAATAACATAACGACTAAACAGTGTTTTCTGTGAAGTCCGCATTTAAGTATCGTGTAATAATTAGTGTAATCTCATGTATGACGGTTTGTCAACAGCCTTCAGTCGGGGTGTAAATTCGGAAACAGTTTGCGGAGATTTCGCGGTATTTTTGACTTACTTGGGCTGATTGAGATGCGGTTCAACAGGAGAAACTAGATTTTACTTGGCTTCGCTGATGGGGACGTCTTAAGAACAAAAATGTACATAACGTCACATGCTGCCAGGCCAATCAGTGACCAATAAATTTCGCTAGAACTGATAGGCGTAATCTTAAACATATTATTTTGTTGTAGGGGGCGCTCGCCGATCGTTCTTACGAAACTCACTCGTTCCGTCGTGCCTTACGGGCACTCTCTCTTTCAATTTTAAACCTATTACAGTACGTGACCTATCTCATGAAATCTGAAAATGGAAACTGATGAGAGAATTTCTGGACGCCTTTAACGTTGAGCATTTTGTTCGTTCTTCCACATCCTTCAACAAAATGTCCTTTTCTTGTGCAGAACTTGTGCTTACGTAATTA